GGCTTCCTCAGCCTATCAGAGATAGGCACCTTCCTCTGCTCATGCACTGACAAGCCTCTCCCTGGCTATTCACTTGGGTTGGTTGTAATTTGGTGTCTTTGCACCACCCTCCTTCTAGCCTCAATTTCTCCCTCTGATGGTTCTGAGCTGGCTTGTTGCTAGGGTGATCTCAAGCTCCTATGGGTAGAGCCTTATTGAATGTGCACATCCACCAGCAAGGGAGAGAGGCCTTTGTCCTTTCTCCCTGGGTCCCTAGATCTGAAGAGCAGATCTGTGATAACCCATGGTGACACCCTTTCATGGACGCTGGCCTTTAGACTGCTCATTGTGTTCTGTGCCACAGGCCAAGGTGGAGAGTTAGCCAGAAGCTTGTGGGGGCCCAGTTCTTCCTGACAGCCCTTCTTGAAACCTGTCCAAGCCTCCCAAGAAGGAGCTTCTGAAAACCAACACTCTCTTTCTCCTTCCTTTTCTGTACTTTCTATTTGTTTTTTGAGACAGGGCTTCACTATGTAGCTCAGGTTGGCCCTGAACTCCTGATCCTCCCGCCTCAGTCTCCCACATGTTGGGATGACAGGTGTGAGTCACTGCATCTGGCTTCAGTCCCTCCTTCTCAAAGCAGTGAGGCTCCCGTGTGCCGATGGGCAGAATCCAGCTCAGGCAGTGAGAGGCTAGGCAAGAAGAGGGTGAAATCAACACAGGCCCTATGCTTTCCCCATGGGCTTCTGGCTCAGCATTCATGCTGCAGTCAGTGAGGGAGTACACACTTTCCATCAGAACCCACAGAGCCTGGCTGAGCAGCCACATTCCTAAGACTAGGGCCTGAATCTCCAGTAATGGCCTTGGGCCTATCTTTTTAAAAAATATTTTTATTTATTATTTTTATTTTTTATGTGTATTATCTGCATGTATGTTGGCATACCCTTGTCATGCAGTGTCCACGAAAGTCAGAAGAGGGTGTTAGAACCCCTGGAACTGGAGTTACACATGGTTGTTAGCTGCCACATGGGTGCTGGGAACTGAACCTGGGTCCGCTGCAAGAGCACAATGCTCTTAACTGCTGAACCATCTCTCCAGCCCCTTTGGACCCATCTTTGATGTGGAAGTGAGAACAGCCCCCGACTGGCTCTGCTGGGACTGTTGCATGCTGCAGAGCTGGGTCTCCATGGCTTCTGTCCAGCTGTCTTGGTGTCCATCTGTCCACCTTCTGCTGCCCCTGAAGCAGCTTCTCTTGGTCCTTCAGCAGCTGACATTTTTGTATATTCTGTCATGAGATATTTTCCTACAGTGTGGTAGGGAAATGACCGTGACTGTCACATGATCCCTTCTGCAGGAATCTTACACCAGGATAAATGGGTTTATTCTCCTCTCCCTGTTATTTTATGTCTTTGAGGGGGGTGATCTGTGTTCATGTATGTACATGTGTATGAGTGCATGTGGAGGCCAGAGGTTAATGTCAGACATCCCCCTCTGTCTCTTTCCATCTTACTGTGTGTGCGTGTGTGTGCTTGTGCATGAGTACATTCACTCTTGTGCCAATGTGGGGATCAGGGAAGGATACTGAGTATCCAGCTGGCTCTATCATTCTTCACCTTACTTTTTTTCTTTGAGACAGTCTCCCTGTAGCCCCCAGCTGGCCTGGAATTCACTATGTAGACCAGGCCTACAATCTCACAGAGATCTGCCTGCTTCTACCTCCTGAATGCTGGGATTAAAGGCGTGCACCACCTTGTTTTTTTGATACAAAGTCTCTCTTTGAACCTGGAGCTAGGGTGGCAGCCAGCAAGCCCCAGTGGTCCTCCACTGTCCACCCCCCCACAGCACTGAGTTTACAGGCACAAGTGTGACGATACCCTATGTGGGTGCTGGGGTTTGAACTTAGATCCTCATCCTTGTGCAGTCAGTGCTCTTACCATTGAGCCATCCCTCCAGCCCTCTACCTTATTTTTTAAAAAGGATTTATTTTGTACTGGGTGTTGTGGCACACACCTTTGATCCCAGTGCTTGAGAGGCAGAGGCAGGCAGATATCTGTGAGTTCAAGGCCCGCCTGGTCTACATAGTGAGTTCCAGGACAGCTGGGGCTACAGGGAGACCCTGTCTCAAAAAGACCAAAAAAAAAAAAAAAAAAGTTTATATGTGTGACTGTTTTGCCTCCATCTATGTACATGCACCACATATGTGCCTTGTGCTTGCAGAGGCCAAAAGAAGGTGTCGGGTCCCTTGGAAGTGGAGTTATGGGCAGTTCTAAGGTACCACATAGGTTCTGGTACAGAATCTGGGTCCTCTGAAAAATCAGTAAGCACTCTTACCTGCTGAACCACCTCTCCAGCCCCCTCGACCTTAGTTTTTTGAGACAGGATCTCTCATTGAACCTGGAGCTCATGATTTGGCAAGTGATTTAGTTACTTTGGTTATTTTCCTGTTGTGATAAAACACTGACCAAAACCAACTTTCAGAGCAAAGGGTTTATTTCAGCTTGCACTTCACTTCCAAGGCACAGTTCATCTATGAGAGAAGTCAGGCAGGAACCTAGAGGCAGGAACTGAAGCAGAGACTGTGGAGGAGCACGCCTATCCTGGCTTGCTCAGTTATTTTCTTATACAGCCCAGGCCTATTTGCCTAGGAATGGCACCACCCACCGCGGGTTGAGCCCTCCTACTTCAACTAGCACTTGAGAAAATGCTTCACAGACATGACCACTGGCCGATCACTTGAGGTTCCTTCCCTCTTCCCAGGTGACTAGTTTGTGTCAAATTGACAAAAACCTAACCAGCACAAGAAGTCTAGCTGTCCAGCAAACCCCAGGGACCCTTCTCTGCCTTCTCAGAGCTACAAATGCATAGATTCTGGGGATCAAACACATTCTATTCTTGAGTGGCATTTTAGTGACTGAGCTGTTTCCCTAGCCCAATCCTGCCCTTTTGCTTGGTTGGTGCTTCAGTGCTAGGAATTGAACCCTAGGCTTCATGCATACTAAGCAAGTGCTTTACCACTGAGCCATATCCCAGCCCCTTCTCTTTCCCTGTGACTTAAGCTCGTGTCTTCCTCAGTATACCTACTAGAGGGGAGACGCCAAGACTGTAGCCTGGTTCTTACCAAGGGCTCTGGCTTAGTCATTGCTGTAGGTTGCAGATCTTTCTTTGTGGCAATCACAGACTTTGTTAGTTCTTAGGGGAGAAGGATGTCCTAGCCTAGTAAATTCAAATGATGCTCAAGGCCCACATCCCTCTGAGGCGCTGGGGTCCTATCGGAGCTACCACAGATAATACTAATCAGCTGTGCTCCAGCTAGAGATGGGGTCTTGAGGCCAGATATTGGGGTGTACTCCATCCTTGCAGCCCATTACAGTGGGCACGCTGGAGCTTCTGTGGAGTCAGGGAACCCGCTGAACTTTGACTGAGCGTTTTCTAACCATTTATTAGCTTCTCGAATGTTTTCTCTCTCATAAAACCATGTAATATCCTTCAGCATCCATGTTCCACAAACACCCTGGAAACCCTTGTGGAAATGTTTTGTTTCAGCTGAAAACTTCCCAGTGACCAGTGTAGGTGGTCAGGAGACGCATCTATAATTTGCAAATGAGAAGTTTTGTTTGGCTAGGTTTCCTGGCCTCTGACTGGGGGAAGGGCCTCAGCTTCTGGTGGAGGTGGGGCAGGGGAGTCCTCTGCTAGCAGAGCCTTCTTCACCATTGCTGTGACTCACTAGGGAGCCAGCAGAGGGTGGGCTTGGGTGTTTCCTGGTCCCCTGGTGACCCATGAGTCAGGCATTGTCAGATGCCTAATCCCTCCTAATTTAGGGTGGGGTGGCTAAACCACCTGTGTTCTCAGACAATGGGGACCCGTGAGGACCATAATGAGGCCCCTCGGGCAGCCAGGTGATGACAGGACCTTTTGGAAATAACTTTGGTAGACAGTGCCTGTAATCAAGTGTTGTGGAAAACAATAACTTTCTTTTTTTTTTTTTAAAGGAGGAGAAATAGGCATTCAGATTGAAAAGGTTATGATGGGGTGGGGGCAGTTTCTACACACTTTCCTTGTTCAGTTGCTGAGTTTTCTATGTCAACATTTCTTTTGGAAAAAGAGCTGTTCACATATGGGAATACAAACACACACACACCACACACACACACACACACGTACACGCATGCTGGCAGCTTGCTGAAGGGGTGTGATGGACAGTGTTGGTTGCTGAGTTCTGTCTTAATTCTCTGCTTTCTGCTGGTTCCTTCATGTCCTCTTGTTTTCTTATTTTCCAGATGGGCAGCAGATTTGGGAGATGGAAGCCACGGTGGATAAAGACAAGAGCCAGCCTGTAAGCCCCCAGGACAGATGCCTGTCACAGGGCTGAGCACTCAGAGTGCCCACAGAGGTTTCTGTCCCCCCATCTTTTGTCCTCCCTTCTTCCTTCCTTCCTTCCTCTCTTCCTCATTTCTCCCTTCTTCATCCCTCCCCCCTTCCTCCCTCCTCTCTCCCTTCCCTTCTATTCTACCCTTCCTTCCCTCCTCTCTCCCTTCCTCCCTCTCTTTTTTCTCTTCTTTCTCTTCTCCATCCCTCCCTCCTTTCTTTCCATCACTCCTCCTTTCCCATCATCCCTCCATCCTTCCTTTCTGTCTCTCCACCTTTCCCTCCATCCCTCCCTCCATCCCTTCTCCCCACTCTGGAGCTTATAGTCACCCCCTAAGTACAAACTGAACTTGCCACTTACTGAGCAGCAGACCCTTTGGTTTGTAACTGTGGCATCCCCACACACTTTGACTTTCCTTGCTGGAACTGAAAAGTTAAATTCTCTTTCAGTCAAAAATTTATCTGTAAATATAGGGACCATGTCAAGACCATCTGGCACAGGTGGGCCCAATGAATGCTCTCGGGGTCTGGGTAGGAATTAAGCCATGCTGCAGTTAAGTTTATGACAACTGCTTCCTTCCAGAACATGCTTTTTGTTGAGATCCCTGAGTATCGGAACAGGCATATCCGTATACCCGTAAAAGTAAACTTCTACGTCATCAATGGGAAAAGAAAACGAAGCCAGCCACAGCACTTTACCTACCACCCAGGTGAGGTCTTCTCTCTGATGCCCCTAAGTTGACAGGCAGTAGGGATCAGGGCTCAGGACTGCCAGGATCTGCTCCCAGCTGGGTGACCTGAGGAATGTGGCTCACCCTCTCTGAGCCTCAGTTTCTCATGCGTTGGATGGTACCTTCCCTTCATGACCCACTGATACAGGCTCTGGCTGTCACTGTCATCCATGTTTTCCTTGGTGTGGAGTAGAAGATGTGCAGACAGGACAGAAGCTTGCTAAGCAGATGATGCTTGCCCCTGTCTTCGGTTTGATCACATTCACTGTCAAAAGTGGGCATGCCCTAGACCTGGCAGAATCCTTGACTGTCCTCACAGTGGGTGGAGTTACTTGGGTGACAGCCAGGCTGGGAGGTCTCATTCTCATAAAGCTCTCCAGGCCCAAGAAAGTTACAGTAGAAGGTGACTCTGAGGTTACTGATGGGGTCAGGTGACAGTAGGGATTGCAGAATAGATTGAGCTGTCTCTTTGGAAAGGGCCCAGACTTCCCAGGCTGGGGAAAGCCTACAGTCCCACCTTAAAAATATGCAATCTCAGTCCTGTAGCCCCTGCCACATCACCATTTTCTGACTAGTCCACATGGACTGTAGAACTAAGGGGGTATCTGGCCTTGGCCAGCTCAGCTTCAGTAGGGTGCGTGGGTGATTCCCATAAGGACACCACTGTACGGATGGATGTGCTCGGGAGCAGAGGTCACAGCCCCTGGGCCTCATAGTCCCCACAGCTGTGGGAGAGCACTGTGTGTTGGCTCTACTTTCTGGCTTTTTCTCCCTTCACCTGCAGTAGCAAAGCCTCTCTGAACGGAGCCACTGCATTAGCTGGTGGAGTGGGGCCAGAGGGATCTAACCCTCAGATCTCTGGTTGTCCAGCAACCAAGTCGTCACCTTTGAATGGCATCTTCAGAAACAATCTGGGGGACTGAAGTCAGACCTGTGGTCTTGCTTGCCTCCTCCAACCCTGACTCTCGAGAGGCTGCCTCCACCCACACCAGTGAGAGTTCTGGCTCCTGTTTACCTAGCTGTTACTCCCTCCTGAGCCGGGTGACATTTCAGGGAGGGTATTGGGAAGGAGCATTTCTGCCATGATGACTGATTCACAGGCTGATGACAATGATGGCAGGGTGCCCATCGCATGGAGTCACTGAGCTCTGTGCCTCACACGCGCATCTTATTCTTCCTGCTGGGTAACAGGTGGGGAAACTGAGGCCTGGGCTAGTAGGATGGAAGAGGGTGAGAGTTGTTGGGCTGGCCATTCCTTTGGAAGATTTTCAAGTGCCTGTTAAGTACCAGCTGTGGCACAGACCCAGAGTACTTAGGACTGACAGAGCTGCCAGGATCCTCCCAGGGGAGGAGCTGGAGCTGGTGAAAGTATATTCATAAATCACTGAGACCCTGGAGGCCAGGTGTTAGCCGCTTTTATCGTTGCTATAAGCAAATGTCTGAGGAAAGTAACTTAAGGGAGTAAGGGTTTGTTTTGGCTTGCAGTTAGAAGGAATACAGCACTAGGCAGCTGGTCATGTTGAATCTACAGCGGGGGCGGGGGAGAGAGAGAGAGAGAGAGAGAGAGAGAGAGAGAGAGAGAGGAGAGAGAGAAAGAAAGAAAGAAAGAGAGAGAGAAAGAAAGAAAAGATAAAAGGGGAGGGAGAGAGAAAGAAGGAAGGAAGGAGAGAAAGAAAACAGGTAGGAAAGAGGGGGGTGGGGGAGAGAGAGGGAGAGAGAGAGAGAGAGAGAGAGAGAGAGAGAGAGAGGGGGGAGGGAGGCAGGCTGGTGCACAGCTGGCTTTCTCTTTTCCATTCAGCACTACCCCATCCCTTGTGGTAGTGCTGTCCACATTCAGGGTGGACCTTGCCACTTGACCCAGTATATATAAACCCAGACGTGTGTCCCCTAGGTGATTCTAAATTCTGTCAAGGTGACAATGAGGATTAAGCACCACGGACGGCATCTCAGATAGTGACCAATACAAGGAGGGGATATAAGCAGGGGCCATGACAAGGATTTCTGGGTCAAGGGGGAGCAAGGGGGTCACCACAAGCGTTCCTCCAAGCTCTTGCCTTGGGGAAAGAGGCTGTCCAGGTTCCAAAGCTGGGTCAGGCCTACCCTCCACCTTTGCAAAGCTGGGAAGGCCCATAATACAAGGGCATTACCAAGGTATAGTTTTACCTGAAGACATTTACACAGGGAATCTTTGGCCTAAGGCTAATGAGTGACAAAGCAGCCATAGTCCCAATTCACATGACTCCCCAGAGCTCCACCCAGTGTTCCTCTGCCTCTCTACATACATGCAGTCTGTCATCATTGCTACAGCTCTGTGCTTCTCTCTCCCACAGTCCCAGCCATCAAGACGGAGCCAAGTGATGAGTGTGACCCCTCTTTGCTCTGCAGCCCTGCTCATGGAGGCCTAGGGAGCCAGCCCTATTATCCACAGCACCCGATGCTGGCTGAGTCCCCCTCCTGCCTTGTGGCCACCATGGCCCCCTGCCAGCAGTTCCGCTCTGGGCTGTCATCCCCCGATGCCCGTTACCAGCAGCAGAACCCTGCAGCCGCCCTCTACCAGAGGAGCAAGAGCCTGAGCCCAGGCCTGCTGGGCTACCAGCAGCCAGCCCTGCTGGCAGCACCCCTGGGCTTGGCTGATGCCCACCGATCTGTGCTGGTACATGCCGGCTCCCAGGGCCAGGGTCAAGGCTCAACCCTGCCGCACACGTCCCCAGCCAGTCAGCAGGCTTCACCCGTGATCCACTACTCACCCACCAACCAGCAGCTTCGCAGTGGGGGCCACCAAGAGTTCCAGCATATCATGTACTGTGACAACTTCGGTCCCAGCTCCACCAGGCCTGGCCCAACCCCCATCAGCCAAGGCCAGAGGCTGAGCCCAGGCTCCTACCCCACAGTCATCCAACAACAGAATGCCCCGACCCAAAGAGCTGCCAAAAACGGACCCCCGGTCAGCGACCAGAAGGAAGCCCTACCCGCTGGAGTGACAGTCAAACAGGAACAGAATCTGGACCAGACCTACCTGGATGATGGTAAGAGGTTTTGTTTGCTTACTACCCTTAAGAAAGGTACCCTCAATGTCCTCTGAAGTCCACTGCATGCTCTAGCACACCCTGACACCTCTTTGGGCCTTGTTTAAGATGACCTGTAAATTCTATGCATTGAGCTTTGAAATGGGTAATGACAGTCTTAAATGGCCCCTACAGCCACTCCAGTAGAAAAACCCAATGAGGGGGCTGGAGAGATGACTCAGTGGTTAAGAGCACTGGTTGCTCTTGCAGAGGACCTGGGTTCGATTCCCAGCACTCACATGGTGGCTCAAACTGTCCATAACTCCAGTTCCAGGGGATCTGACACCCTTTTCTGGCCCCCACACAGGCATACTCACACACATGCAGGCAATACATTCATATACATAAAATAAAAATTAATTAATTAAAACATTTAAAAAGGGAAAACAAAAAGCCAGTGAGGGGCGTTCTGGCCACAGGAGTGTCCCTGAGGTCATGAACTGGGTCTCTCTCATGCTTCTACTCTTTCTGTGGCCAAATTTAGACAGAGGGCAGGAAAACAGAAAGGAAGGAAAGCAAGCTTCCATTCTTTCCCATCGAGGAAAATCCCACTTTATGGCTCTCTTTTGTGCATGGGGGAGGGGTAGAGAGTGAGGAAGGAGTACAGCCCTTGAAAGGGGCTCTCTCAGGAGTATGAATGGGGGCTGTGGGCAGCTCTGCCACATGCTAGCAGGACACAGGGACCATTGATGGAGGACAGCAGTGGGCTTCCGCCGGGACAAGCCCAGCTGATGGGGTGGCAGGGCCAAGGAGAGGATTCAAGAAGGCTTTGTGCAAAGGTATCCCGGATTGTGGGCACACAGCCTTGGCCAGAGGCATGGCTTGTTAGAACAGGTGTGACAGGTGTTGGCTGGGCTCTCCAGGGAGGAAGAGCACCCTCACCTGAGATAAGCAAGGTGTGCCTGAAAGGCAGTGAGGGTGTGGTAGGTAGAGCCAGCTTCTCTTCCCTTTGAGACTCTAGAAAATAAGTCTGGGGTGGGAGTTTCAGAATAGAAGAAGCCAGGTGCTCCCTTCAGAATAGAAATGGCCAGGTGCTCCCTTCCTACAGCCCAGCTCACCGTTCAGGGGCCAAAGCACCTGACACCCAGTGGAGCAGCCCCCATCCAAAAAACGCTGCAATCAGAAGTGGTCCCAATTTGGGGGTACTGGGGTAGTGCATTACCAGTTCAGAATCTCTAATCCAAATCTCTGAAATCTGGAGAATTTACAATTTGAAACTTTCTGGGAACCATTTTAATGCCTAAGAGTTGGGATTTTAGAGCATTTTGAATTTTGGGATTGGGGGTGGTTCAACCTGTTCCCTAAAGACATGATTTAGGATCATTAACTCCTAGGAACCCAGCCAAAGAATAGGGAACAAGGCAGAGTGGTCCAGAACAGTTGTCATGGTTACCATAAAGCCCTGAGACTGATTTCAGACACCGGGGCGTCAGGAAATCCTTGCTGTGCTTGCTTAGTGTCTGTTGGCTAGCTGATGGTTCTCAGACTTCTAATGGCTTCTGTCCCTTCTAATAAAATGACCAGTCAAACCATCCCCTAAGATCACCAAGCAAAGACCTCTGGGGGCCACTCACTGAAGGGCCATATTGTCCCTTGTGCCTGGCCAGACCTTCCCAGTAGTGTTGCTTTGTCAAAAATTGATGAAGCCTGAAGGTCAGGTGCAGACTGAGTCGAAATCACTGCTCTGTTTGAGGTGGACCTGGGTATGATCCGTCTGTGGATGGTAGACATCCAGGTGAGATCCCTGGCACTTATTTCAAAGGCAGTTGTAGGTACAGAGAGTTCAACAAAGCAGGAAACCTGGTGATAGGAGACCTGAGAGCTGGGGCCATTCATGGGCCTCTCTCCATATGAGCTGGGGAGCCCATTAGAGGCAGGGAGCTTTATGACTTAGTGAATGTCTAAACAGGGCAGGAGCTTCCCAGAAGCCCCTGGGAAGATGTTGGTTTGGTCTCTGAGAGCAAGGATGTGCTCGCTGTCCCATGCTGTCATCCCACATTAAAGACAAGTGCTAGGTGCCATAAGGGAACAGCAGGGAGACATCCTAGTGGGTCAGAGGTGGTCACCCACATCTTCGGTAGTCTTAGGTCCTCAGATGCGATTGCTGTGTTGTTGATGAAGAGCCTGTGGGCCCTCCGAAGGCTCTTTCTAGACACAGGCAGGCTCACAGGTGCGATGGGGTGAGCACTGGGATATCTAGAGAGCTGGGCACGGAGAGAGCCGTGAAAGAGACCTCTTCTGTACCTTCTACATAGTTCCCACCCCTGGGACTTGGCAAAGGATCCTCTGAAGAAAGGTTCTGTGGCTTAAAAAGGTGTAAAGTCAGAGTTTAACCTATTTTTTTAAAAAAACGTTTGTTGTAAGACTTCTCAGAGCCTTGACTGTGCTGGTAAATGTTAAAAATCTCTAAAACCAGGGGCACCCTAACACTTCCCAGACAGGAGAATATGTACACACTCTAGGGGGAACTGTTCCCATGGTATTATGTCATCCTATCAGCCCACAGCCCTGGGGTTGTGGCCCCACCACAGGCCTGGAACCTGCTCCTTGCCCCAGCATACAGACACTCAGGACTGAAGCCCAGCACAGGTCCATATTTAGACTTCTTAGTTCTAGCCTAGCCTTCTTGGACCTGGGCATGAGAAGGGGGAGAGTCATTTCCACCATGTGTCTCCAAAGCATCAGTGTGTCACTGAGCAGTCTCCAAGACTGCCCAGCATGGTCTACCATACCCCAGGGTGAACTCAGGAGACATGGCTCAGTCTGTCTCTTGGTGGCCAGGATTTTAGGACCTAAGAGGTCTGGCTGTATGCTCCAAGAGCACCCATCTGTAGTTTGGGGTTTATTTTGGACAAGTGGGTTAGGTAGTGTCTCCATCTACCTAGGAGGTTGATTGGGTTTGGGGTCCTTTCCTGTCATTTCATTTGTCATTCAAAGGCATCTCTTCCTGAAGCCTGGCTCCCAGAGCACAGCTCAAACGCTATCAGAGTGTGAAGACAGTGGACATAGGGCCTGGTCTCCACACAAACACAAACACTGGCTTTGGGAAGTTGGCCATGCCTCTCCAGGGGACTCCCTATGACCAGGTGCCCTGCAGGGTGCTTCACCTTTCCCTTGCATTTTCCTGCATTCCTATACTTGAATGCCTCCTTGGCCCCAGAGCTCAGATCTGCTTCTCCCATTCCGATGGCTGGAGATGCTTGCAAAAATCTCTTTGAAATAGCAAAATGAGTGACATTCCAGTGCAGTGGGTCCCCTTCACCTTCACTTGACATATGGGCTGTGCACAGCTCTGCTTTCTCTTGGCTCTTGAGCCTTTGTGGAACTAGTCTCTTGTGCCTGGGCAGCCCTGGCTGCTAGAAATAGCTGAATCTATTGACCGAATCCTTCCCTCTTGACCCTCATCCCTCTTCCCCAGCTGTCCTGGTCCTTAACCCATCCTCCAGCTCTGACCTTGGCCCTTGATCTCCCCATCCTTGCATCCCCAGACCCAAGCTTTTGCTGGCTGCCTCCTGAGCCAGGCACTATCCTAGGTGATGGAAAGCACTAATGAACAAAGCCTTGTATCTGGGCCATTTTTGTTGTTGTTCAAGAAGACAGACATAGACATTGGCATCAATCATAGATGCCAATGTCTGAGTGAGTGAATCAGTGGCAAACGAGGGAAGTAGTGCAGGTTAGGGGCTGGAGGGGGCTGGGTGGGGTGGTATGGGCTCTGTCACAGGAAGGTCGAGAGAAAGGGTGTTTCGGGGAGCGGGAACAGAAGCTGGGAGGTGGGGTCTGAAGGTCAGAGCAGTAGGTGGCGTTGTGGATTTTGGGCAGCAGTTGGATGGGATTTAGGGACTTTTGGAGAAGGTGGTTCTTACTGCCTTTGAGAAACAGATACGAGGGAGGCAAGAGGTGAAAGGAGAGAGTCACACTCGTGATGTTTCTAGGACAACCAAAGGAAAACAGTTGTCTCTCTTTGAGTTTTGTTCTTTGGTTTCAGATACTGGAGTTCAACCTCAGCCAAAATAGTCAATGGAAAATTCTAGAGAGAAATAGTTTGACTGAACTTTTCTTACAGTATACTGTTAAAATGGATCTATTTTATCATTGATCTAGTTTAGAAAGGAAACTTTAGTACAGGTTGCACATTTAGGTAAAACAAAGTGTCTATAGGGGTCTGAAGTCTGGGGCTGTTAGAAAGGGTCTCTTGGATGAAGGGGCACAACCGTCATTCATTTTAGGCACAGCTTTTGGAAAGGAGAGTCCCCATCAGGAAGGAGATGGAGCCAGAGCGAGCATCTTTCCCCGAGTGGGATTGTATAAAGTACACCCCAAACTGCCAAGGAGCACCAAGAACTTAGCTCACTCTTACCACTTCCTTGGTGCAAAGGCTGCATGTTCCCTGCCCATGCACAGGCCTCAAGGAAGGGAAACTCAGAAGAGACTGTAGACTCAGCAGTGACAGTCACCAAGTGTCTCCCACTGTTGGTGACTCGTTCTGGGCGCCACATTGATACCACAGCTGAACTGTGGTTTGAGGGTCACAGGGCCAACTCACCACCAAGTCCACTGTAAGTGCTGGGGGCATGGGCATGTCTTTAGGTCTTAATCACAGAGGGAGGGCAAGAGAAGCATGGGCCCTCCTCAGAGCACACCCTTGACCCCTTTCTCCCTCCTGGGAGGGATGTGCGTATGCATGCAAGGTTGGACACATGGGAAGAGCTCACAGTCTGCTATTAAAGCTGCTTCTAGTTGGGCATGGTGGCACACACCTTTAATTCCAGCACTTGGGAAGCAGAAGCAGGTGGATCTCTGTGAGATCAAGGCCAGCCTGGTCTACATAGTGATTTCCAGGCCAGCTGAGGCTACAGGGGAGACCCTGGTTTTTTTTTTTTTTTTTTTTTGTTTGTTTGTTTGTTTTTTTAAAAAAGCTTCTGATCTTACTTTTCCTAGGAACTATGAAATCAGCTAGA